TGTTAAATCAGACTCTGGGAATGAGGCCCAGCAATCAGTGCTTTCTAAGTCCTCTAAGAGAATATTCTAGAACCACTGGTCTAACTATTTCAAGTTGAGTTAGAGAACTTTGGAAGCACTTTGTTTAAAACATATAGAATCTTTTTTATATTGCTATGAATTAAGAGATAAAAAATTTATAGAATGAAAAAGATTGCTGCTAAGAGCCCTGGGAAGGGACTGGGGCTGTAGCTCAGTGGAAGAGTGCTTGCTTAGCACACATGAGGCACTGGGTTCGATCCTCAGCACATTAAAAAATAAATAAATAAAACAAAGGTATTGTGTCCATCTACAATTAAAAAAATAAAAAAAGAGCCCTGGGAGGTCGTGAGGGCAAATAGTTTTCAAATGCGTCATACACGGAAATCTGAAGTTCTATTAAGTATCTCTAGGGATTTCCTAAAAGAAAATATATTCATATATGTGACTGATGACTGCTAATTTAACCAGCTAGGATCTGTCTGCAAAAGAGTTGGAATTCTGTATCAGGAGTTTAAGGGCTGAGTCAGTATCTTATTCATCGTTGTATCTCTGTTATCTCCTGGCACAGATACACAATAAGCATTCATGCATTCATGATAAATCAATGAAAGGATGGAATAGCCATCTCATGTATTCAAGTTCCTGAGTAACTTTGACTTTGAGTAATGTTCCAAGCTTACTTTTTTAAAGATCACATTTGGATCATATATTCATATATACTTTTTTTTTAAAGAGAGAGAGAGAATCTTTTTTGTAGATGGACACAACACAATGCCTTTATTTTTATGTGGTGCTGAGAATCGAACCCGGGTCCCGCCCATGCTAGCCGAGTGCTCTACCGCTGAGCCACAATCCCAGCCCCACATATATACTTTTAAGAATACTGACTGCCTTATGTATGTGACCAGCCAACCTCTTCAGAAGTTTAGGTTTTATCTAATAAATATTAAGAATAATGCCTCCAACTCTTCTGTGTGAGAAGGTGGGGAGGGGTGGCTTAAATGACTATAGTGCTTGCTTCATTTCTTGAAATGTTTATAAAAGATTTTACCATGTATTAACTCTTCCAGTGACCAACCCAGGAATTTTCATCCTTGACACTATATTTTTTTTTTTTTTGTACCAGAGGTGCTTAATCACTGAACCCTTAAAAAAATATATTTTATTTACAGACAGGGTCTTGCTGAGTTACTTAGGAACTTTGCTAAGTTGCTGAGACTGGCTTTGAACTTGCTATCCTCCTACCTCAGCCTCCTGAGCTGCTGGGATTCCAGGCAGGCACGACCCACATCTGGCTATTTTGACACTATTGACATTTGGGGCTAGGTTATTCTTTATTGTGGAGCTGTCCTGTGCACTGTAGGATGTTGAGCAGCATTCATGGCCTCTACCCACGAGATGCCAGTAACATCACCCACTTCCAGTTATAACAAACAAAATGTCTCCAGATACTGACAAGTGTCCCCTAGGGAAGAAAATTGCTCAGGTTGAGAATCACTTCTCTAACCTAATATTAATATGGTAAATTTCTGCATTTCATTCAGAGCTATGGAAACAAGCTTCAAGAAGGAGCATATGTTGTTCTACATCTCTCTTTAACTCATTGGTGAGGCCTTTGGCAGTGACAGCTCTATCTGTTTTGAAATTAACTAGTTCACAAACCTCATTATTTTAGGCCAGTTTTCTCCCGGGAACAATTTTATCTTTGGAGATGCAAATTCACAAACTCTAAACATCTTTTTTATACATGTCTTGTATACTGTTTAAGCTCTGAATTCCATTACTAGGCATTTTTATTTAATAGTTTCTAAATAATTATAGACTGGCTAAAAGAACTCTATAGAAGCCGTAATATGGAGTTAGCAACTAACGGAATGGTTATTTGTTTCATTACAATATTTTAAAGAATTATTTAAGTAAAAATCTAAATGAAATGTAATAATTGTCTTTATTACATCCTACTTCAAGGTTCTGTCCCTGGAAAAAAATTCATCACTGCTTCTGGAATTTACTTCCCGGTATCTAAGGAATATGCTAATAATTCTATTTCTGAATTTACTTCAGATATTATCTATTTTAAAATTATTTTAACTTATCCTCACTTCTGCTCCTCCATATTCTCAATATATTACAATTTTTGTTTAAATCATCAGTGATTAAATGATAAGTTGATAGTGTATGCTGACATCCTTATTGACACCTTCATGCTAATGTCTCCTCTCTTACTATACCTGTGGGTATATATTTTAAACTTTTATTTTTCTTTTTTCCATTTAATGGTCTTTGGAGAGTGAGAAGGGATGAAAGCAAATGGCCATAACACATTTGACAGAAATAACAGGAAACTAAAATTATTTCTAAAAACTGTAAATGATTACATAAAGAATCTCAAAATTTTACTTTAGAAGGTAGAATCCTATTTCATTCTCACCTCTTACATTTAGCATAAGTGACAGCAAGGCATTTTTTTTTAAACTTAAGAAAAAAGTATAAAATCTGGTTTTTAATTTTTCTGAAATATAGTCTTATAATTTCTTTCATTATTAACACTGAAAAATCAGGATCATCAAGAAAGCAAAAACAGAAGATTAGAAAAGATAACCTAATGCCATGACACATTAAAAAAAGATACTAGGTGAAAAGTAACATGTATGTAATGAAGCCTCCAATTTGGAAGTTGAGTCAAACAGTTAATTACTAACAAAGATGGCAACCATGTTTCTTTTTTGTCTTTCACAGTGAATGCACAATTAGCACTTAATGCTAAGACTGGGGAATAAACCATCTATAATCTACTGAAAAAGACCATCTGCTTCTATAAATTTTGTTCTCATATACTTGCCAAAAGAAGAGAACATATTAACAAAATAATGGGCCCTGCACTGTTAATTGCTAGGTTGTTTGCAGTTGTGCTGTTGCTATTAGAATTTAATAAGCCATTCCTTCTGCTAAATTAATAAGCAGCCAAGATTATGTAATAGCTGCTTTCAGCTGCTAATTATTTTTCCCATAATTCCTTCCCCTTTCTACCCCACCCCCACTTTTTTTGGCTAGGAACACAGAGATGAGGCTGCCAATATGTCATCAGCATATCTCGCGTCCTCATTTTCAGAGTCACAGACCAACATTAGGAGCATAACCAATGAGTTTAAACTCGGAGGTGTCTATCTCTGGAACCTTGAGGACATGTGTTTTGTACAGAAAAAGAAAGAGCATTTGAAACCAGAGGGCGAATTTTCATTGCATAGTATTAGAGCTATCTTTGAATTGGTTAATGGTATCTATTTCATGTAGTAAGGGAGAAAAAGGACATTAGTAAGCACCTTTAGGGAACGTTTGGGCAGAGAGCAGGTAAAAATTTAGGCAGGGGGCCTAAAGAACTATAGAGATACAGCCCTGTGCTTTCAGTCTATCATTTTTTAAAAATAGCTTCCAGTATAAATTAATCATACATGTTTTAGGAAACTTTCCAAGCAGCATAGTAGGACTAAGAAGGGAAGGTATTATACATTTTTTATTTTGTCAAACCAGTGCATTAAAAATATCCCAAATGCCTTCAAATCCCTATTTTACATCATCTTGGTTTTATAGACATTGTAACACAAAATGAACATAATCTCTAATATACGATATTTTAAATTGATCAAATTCACTTTCATGAAAAAATTAGTATTTCTTTTATACTTTAGGCCATTAAAAAAATTCTGGCGACCATGTTTAGTAACCTCCACAAAGAGGGAATAACCCAACAAAAGCATTTTTCCAGTTCCCTTTGTAAGAACCTAGGTGACTGGGGTAATGAATAGTATTCGACATGGGAAACCCGTGGCTGCTCAAGCAAGGTCACCTAATCCTGTGGGTCCTCCCTCCTTTCCTTATCTATAAAAGATGAGTTTAACTAGATGATTCATCCATTCTATCATCCAAAAAAAAAAAAAGCATTATCCATTATGTGCCCAGAACTAGCTCAGCATTTTGGCTCTTAACAAATCTACCCTTTAATAGTCTTATTAACTCACATTTATGTTGTTACATACTAGGCAGTTAACCAGGTTAGGAAGCAAAATGAATAAAATCCAAGATGTGCAAATATATAGGCTAATGGGCATGTAGGTGAAAGAGGGGCTTGTGCTTACAGGGTTTTAGGGTGAGGCTTCATAGATGTGACATTTGACAGGAAGGACATGCCAGGCAGAGCAAGTCGTCGGCAAGGCTAAACTGGAACCCAGGCGGCTGGTGGGGGCGACCCTGTGTAAAGGAAGCGGGATCTCGAGGATTCCGTCTAGACTTTTCAGCCGAGAACGGACAGTAACTCATCCAGTCCACAGCGAGGAATGGGCGAGGCAGCCCATAGAAGAAACTCTTGCGATGCTTGGAGGGAAAGTGTCTGGGCTAAGGCTGTAGCAATACGATGTGAAGGAGGGGCCACGTGCACCAGCTCCACGAAAGAGCTGACTTGTTTTCCCCAGAGTTGCAGCACTCTCTCCTCTCACCATCATCACCGACCGTTACACCTCCCATGCCACCATCTCGGGGCACCGGGAGTCTTCGGAGCTCGAACTTGGCTCTTTACTGTCCGGACCTTCCCTACCATGCACCACCGGGTCAACTAAGGGCGCCGCAGAACCCCATCCTCCCGTCACTAAAGAGCCGGGACAACCGCCCGCGCGCGTCCCGGAGGCACAAGCATAAGTACGCAGGCGTGCCAGCCGCGGCAGAAGCCGCTTCCGGGTCACGTGGTCCAGCTTCCGGTTATAACCACGTCCCCAAGCGGAGAGATGGCCAATCGGCTACCTCAGACTACGCGGTATCTGCGCTGCCTACAGAGCCGTTGGCTACGGCTGAGCGCCTTCCCGCGCGTCGCCCAACCTGCCCCTCCTCTCGCCGCAGCTTCGACTCCTCCCTCGTCCAGCCCCCGGGGCGGGGTCTGTTGGCTCGCCCTTCCCTCGCTGCTTAAGCCTGCCCTCCTCCAAGCGGGTCCCCTCCCCACAGCACCACGGCTTCTTTTCCTCCGCAAGGCGACAGGGGCTTCCCCTCAGCCGCCGCCGCCCCCGCCGGCCGAGCTCCGCCGCGTCCGCGGCCAGCGGCCGCCGTAAGTCCCGAGGGACAATTGGAGGTGCTGGGGATGGGAAGAGGGAGGGATGGCTGGGCGCGCCCCCCGCCGCCCCGCGCACGCCCCGACGACCCCACCCCGCGCCCGCCTGGCCCGCCACTGGGGCGCCGCGCCCCGCAACTCACTTCTCTCCACGTCCGCGCCCCGCACACTACTCTGCGCTGCGTTTGGATGCGGGGGCCAGTCCTAGGCTCCGCGGGGGCCCCGCGGCACCTGTGGTTCGAGAATCGACTCAAGTTTTGCGGGGCGTTTTTGGGAGGGGCCGGGGGCGGCGGCGGCCGAGGACTCTTGGCGCCCCCTGCGCGGCGGCGGATGCCATTGTCTGCACCGCTCCTTGCCTGTCACCTCGCCCGTGCTTGGTCAGTGATGGAGTGTGGCCCCGGGAGTGGGGGTGGCATCGGAGACGGCGGGACCCAAGGAACGCTGGACCCAAGCCCACTCCAGGGTTGAGCCCATTGTTTTTGACACCAGTCTCGAGGAATTGTAGTGCCCTGTGATTTGTGGCAAAAATCAGAGCATTGGTTTTTAAAGAGAGGAAAAGGAGTACTTGTGCCTTGCTGCCAGGTTTCGCCCCATGTTAGCGCATGATTTATTTTAAGGGGGATACATTGTTTCTTCGTCCGACAAAGTGCTGGGGCGGTTACAGGACCCTGCTACAGACAGCCGGGAACCCATACTGTATTTTTCGAAAGCAAACGCCCACCCCTCCTGGCTACCAGGATCTGTGAACACAGGGTCCATTCTTGTCCAAGTTTTGGTAACGAGTTTGCATAACTGTGCAGTTGATGCTTCACTTGCTGTCCCTTCGAATGCCGCTATCTTCAGGACTTATATGGGAGGCACTTTGATACCACTGAATAAATATCTGTGTGTCTTGTGCTACGGAAGCTTTTTAAGTAGAGTAATAAGCTAATTTTAACTTTAATAAAGTTAAATTGCCAAGTCATAAATTTCCAGGTATCTTGATGCCTTTTTGCATTATCGCAAAAAAGCAGCAATAATTTCTTATTGGAATTTGGATCCCATTTTATTCTGTTGGTTGTGTAAATTCCCCCTCCCCAGGTTCAAATTCAAGATGGTGTGGTGAATATTGAGAGTCAAGGCTTGAATCTTACTCTCAGTGGCACTGTTAAAGGCACTTATAAAGGTTAAAAAAAAAAATGAATATCTATCTGAATCCTACCTTTAAATAAACTTTGTAGAAACAATACTTACCGTTTGTAGTTAAGATAACCAGTTGAATTTAAAAAATCTTGGCTTTAAAAGAAAATGTACACCGATCAACAGACTTGCAAGTTTCAAATAAATCCATACAAATTAGTTTAAGTATAAAATATACTAGAATTTGGCGTCTACTTCATCTGTAAACGCTATTTTTTGTTTTAAATGAAGTATTTCATGTATTGTCCGACGATGTATAACTCTTATTTTTAGCCTTTTTAAGGTTTGCATTCTCTTCCATAATATTAATAACTCAGTTCTTAATTGTGTACGTGTTTGTGGTTTTTTTGTTTTTTTTTTAATGAGAAGAAAACATAAACTTCAAATCAGGCTTTTATTAGGAAAAATATATTTATGCGATCCTTTTTTTAGTTAATATTTTAGATCATTATTTTGCTTAAAATATGCTAGCATAAATTGAAGAGAGCATTCTAAATGATAAGCAGTTTGTCTGCAAGTAATTCAGCCTGGAACTAGAATGGCCTCGGGGTGAAAAACAGTAGATCTCCTGTTTATTCCAAATGTACCCAAACCAATTGATGTCTATAGTTCTCTTTTGATGCATGGTAAGGCAGTGTGGAATGTATAGTATGGGTAGAAAATCGTTTCTTAGATTACCAGAGCTATCTTTTTCTTAAAAATTTCACTCCATCTTATTACTTGTTTTTCTTTTTATACACACGTTTCCCTCCAAAGATGGTGTGGTGAATATCGTATGTGGTCACATGTATGTGGGTCAAGGTGGGATGGGAAGGGAAGATTTGCATCTAAGTAGTAAGATCTTTCTAAAATAATTTTCTGCTATTTTAACTGGCATAAACATATTGATGACTGCTAATCATTTGTCAGTTAAACACCTATCCCTCAAAGGTTCTCTGAGAAACATGTAATCTTATAACTATTGACTCAAAGTATTGCATTTAATATTGATTTTCTTATTTATTTTAACAGATGCAGTTTATGTTGCTTTTTAGTCGTCAGGGAAAGCTTCGACTGCAGAAATGGTATGTCCCACTGTCAGACAAAGAGAAGAAAAAGATCACAAGAGAACTTGTTCAAACCGTTTTAGCACGGAAACCTAAAATGTGCAGCTTCCTTGAGTGGCGAGATCTGAAGATTGTTTATAAAAGGTATAATTTTTAATTATCAGTAAGGTGGGATAGCAGAATGAAATGATAGGTCTTTTTTTTGGGGGGGGGGGTGGGTACAGGGGATTGAACCCAGGGGTGCTTTACCATTGAGCTACATCCCCAGTCCTTTTTATATTTTATTTTGAAACAGTGTCTCATCAAGTCACTAAGGCTCACCTCAAACTTGTGGTCCTCCTGGCAGTCTCATTGGGATTACAGGTGTGCATCACTGCACCTGGCATTGGTCATTTGTAATAGGGAAGTTGCAGACTTTTGAGCAATAACATTTATAAGTAATGATCAATAAATATTTAAATGAAATAGGTTTAAAGGAAAGCTTTTTATTTTAAGATAACTGCTGTTTTAATGAGTTACCCAGGCCAAAATGATACGTAGGGAAATGATCTTTAAACTAATTATATAATTAAAGACATAAATGATTAGTCATACTCAACCATCTTTTCAGGAAAATTCAGTGAATTCAGGGGCAAAAAGAATCAGTATTTTAAATTACATGAGTAATTCTCTGAATTTAGGCAAGCATAGATGAGAGTCTAATTCTCATGAATCTTTATAAAATAATGACTAATATTTAACATGCCTTGTATCCAACTGTTAGAATCTTATAAACATCTTGGCTACATATAGACTTTTGCAATTATACAGATGTCTAAAAATTTTATGTATGTATAGGATCTGTTTGTTAATAGTATTTATTAATTTGAATTACACTTGTTGCTGTGGTGAAGGTGTTCTTAGATATGATAGATAATTTTGCCAAAGATAGGTTTCTTAAAATTTGGTAATTTTTTTTACACTGATATTTTAAAAAATGCTTTATATCTTTATTTTACTGGTATCTGAAGAAACTCTTTTGAGTATCTTAAATTTTTAGGATTGTTCTAAACAGGTTTAATGAAATATAATTTATTTTTTTACAGAGTACATTTTAAAGGAACATTATTTGCTTCTTCCCCATTTCTGTTCCCTTTTGAATAATTTACTGAATTTAACATGAAAACATTTCTGCATATAAAAAATTCTCTTGTATGGGGAGTATACAGTGAAGTAACAGTATGGAATGCCATGAGGGTAGAAGAGAAGTCTGTTTTTTCTCTTTTATACTCCAAGTGTGGATGGTTTTTTGTTTGTTTGTTTCATTTTGTGTGTGGAGGGGTGGGTGGCAGGGAAGGAAGTGGCCATTGTAGGACAAAGCGAGTTTCTTAAATACTGTAGACTTCTTTTTATTTCACAATGAATTTAATCATTTAATCATGTTTGGGTGATTTTTGTATAGTGTTGGGTTTATAGTTGTTGAGAAAAGATTTTAGAAAAATCATAGCACTTGAGATCTGGGAGATATCTTAGAATAATCTAGTCAAGTACTTTTTTATTTTTTAAGCTTTTTGACCCAGGGATAGAGTCTTAAATAAAACAAGCAGAAATGGAACTGCTCTTGTGAAATCACAGGTATCCCATCACCCTGCTCACTTGGCCTCTACTCTTTGCACAGGAAACCGTTCTGAATTTGAAAAATAATGATATTGATCAAATTTCTATTGTATTAAAACAATATATTTGGGAAAAGTGACTTGTTGGAGGTCATATGCTGCTGGGGGTGGGGGGGTGCAATTTAAATTTCAAGTATGGAGGCAAAGCTTTTAAATAGGAGTGAAAAAAGATTAGGTGAGCTTTTTTTAAGAGATTGAAGAATGACAAAGGGTGGGGGGAGGACAGGGACTGAAACTGGCACCTGCAGGATCTGTAGGAGACTGCATAATAATAAAGTCCTGAACCCAGAGGCTTGTAAAGGAGAGCTCTTACCTAGGGAAGTTTTATCAGACTTGGTCACATCTAGAAGTGGGGAGGACTGCCAAGGAATGGGAGAAGTGGTGTGATCTTCACATTTCTAATTTGGCTGATGGGATGAATGGTAAATTAGAGAACCCAGCTAATTTTTAGACAAGTTGGTTTTGAAATGTCTCACTTTCTGGTGGGTTGTGTTGAGCATAGGCATGGAATTCTGGGGAAACTTAGACGAAAAGTGTTACATATCCATCCTTCAAGTGGCAGGCATAGGTAAGTATTAGGTCAGTAAAGTCAGGGAATCGGAGTGAATTTCAAGAGTAAGATCAACTAATGCCAGATGTCACATAAAATTCAATGAAGGTGAAGAAAGAATCTGGTAGATTTTGTAGTAAGCACTTTATAAAATTGCCCTCTGCCAGAACATTTTGAGTGGAGTAGTAGAGACAGAACTCTTGATGTAATGGGGAAAGAGTGAAGAGGTAGAGTAATTTAAATAGCACATGGAGACTATTTTGGGGGGCTTTGCTGTGAGAGAGGTGGTAACCACCCCTAGACATAGGAGTTGGGGACAGGATTGAAAAAAAGGTGTGAGAGGCTTAAGCTTATTTTTAGATAGGGGAAGGAGTCCCCCGTGTGGAGGAGGAAAATACCAGCAAGGGACTCAAGCCTATGAATGGAATAAAGGAATAAAAGGAATAAAGGAAAGAACTGGTTGGTGTTCCTATGCGTTCCACTCAGCCTGTCCCTATTGGGCCACTTCTTTTTCTTAAAGTTATAAAGAATATTTAACCTGACTTTAATATTTAGATCAATACTCCCTTAAGTAAAAGGTGAGCTTAACAAAAAACAAACAAACAAAGTAGCTTTATTGAAATAATCATGTACAAAACATGGATTTTTTTTTTTAAAGAGAGAGAGAGATTGAGAAAGAGAGAATTTTAATATTTATTTTTTTTTTTTTTAGTTTTCGGCGGACACAACATCTTTGTATGTGGTGCTGAGGATCAAACCCGGGCCGCACGCATGCCAGGCGAGCGCGCTACCACTTGAGCCACATCCCCAGCCCAAAAACATGGAATTTATAATCTGTTTTTCTATATACTCCCCCATTTCATCTTCTTACCACCTCATATATTTTTGTTGATATTATCAGGTGATTTGATTTCACTGCTCTACCTGGATGAAAAAGCCTTTTAAACCAGAGAATTACTGCTTAGCTCCTGAGAAATTCTGAACAGGCACTTTTTTTTTTCTTTTTTTTTGTATTAGTGATTTAACCCCTCGCTTTGCACTAGCACTCTGCCACTGAGCCATGTCTGCAGCACCACCAACCGTTTTATTTATTTATTTTTAATTTTTTTTTTACCTTGAGACAGGGTCTCTTTAAGTTGCTCAGGCTGGCCTGGCACTTGCAATCCTCCTGCTCCAGCCTCCAGAGTAGCTAGATTTATAGGTGTGCATTGCCATGCATTGTTGTTCAATTGCTGTTCAAACAGCTCTTTTGCTGTTCATATCAGCAGGGGTTTTTTATGTCCTTTTTGTTAAATTGGGCCATACACATTCTTCATTCCAAGTGTTTGGCATATAGATTTCCCTTTGGGGAGGGGAGCTGTAGGGGAGATAAGGAAAATATAGCTGAAAAGACAGACTGAAAATCTGAGGACCTGAATTGTCCATTTGTGCTATTAGCTAGTTTTGTGACTTTAAGCAAGTCACTTTGCCTCTGTTTCCTCATCCCTAAAATAGATACTCTTAAAGATCTCTTGAAGACAGAATATTGTATGTTTCTGATTCCTATTTTATGCAGCACTTTATATTGGATTAGTCTTCTTAAATTAATTTAAAAATATGTTCATGCATTACTAGCTTGAGAATTTGTTAAAGGGTACTTATTGATTTTCTTTACTAACAAAAGAATTCTTAATGACATACTAGTGGGTATTGAGAATAGTTTAGCTACATTCACCCATCGTCAGCTGATAATTTAGCTGACTGCAGAGAAGTCATGTGTTTGAATATAAGAATAGGCACTTTCAGATGTTCTCTGAGTGCCAGTAATTAGAGTAAGCCTTAATCCACCGTACTAAAAATAACCAAACATACCTTTCTTCTTACTAGTCTATTATTAATTTCACTTCAGATTTAGACTTACAAATATGTACTAAGAGAACAAAATGAGCTCATTATTGAATTTTAAAAAATGTTTTTTTTTTTTTTTTTTAAACCAATTGGATTTTAAAAATAGGGAAAACACTTCAGGTTTTCTTGGTAATCTTTTACTAAAATCAGTATGACATTTTTTAGTTCTCTCATTTGAAGCTCTTAAAATACTGCTTTGAGCATAGTTTAATTTTTACCAGGTGCAGGTTTATTTTAATACGATTGCTGGCTATGGTTTTTAATGTAAAATTCGGCTGTGGGGTCAAATTGCTGTTCTGGGTACATTACTCAAGCCTGGATCTCCTATAAACTCAAGCAATAATAGTATCTCTGGTAAGGTAGTGAAGATTAAAATGGTAAAATATGCGGAAGCCTTAGCTAACATTTAGTGCCTCATTTAGAGTGAGGACTCAAGTTTGGAGCCAGACTTCTGTTTCTTCCTTCTTTAAACTTTCTGAAAAGGCTTATGATCCTGATGGCTTTCTGTTCATCTGAAAAAAAGAATTCATTAAATTTTGTGTGTGTGTGTGTGCGTGCGCGCACGTGTGCGCGCGCGCACTTGCTGGGGATGGAACCCGTGGCGTTGTGCATGCAAAGTAAGCACTCTACCAACTGAGCTACATCCCCAGCCCAAGAATTTATTAAGTTGACAGCTTCTTTTACATTCTTTTTTAAAAAAATATTTATTTTTTAGTTGTAAATGGACATAATATCTTTATTTTATTTTTAATGTGGTGCTGAGGATCGAACCCAGTGCCTCACACGTACTAGGTGAGCACTCTACCACTGAGCCACAATCCCAGCCCTCTTTTGCATTCTTTTTTTTTTTAAAGAATTTTTTTTTTAATATTTATTTTTTTTTAGTTTTCGGCGGACACAACATCTTTGTTTGTATGTGGTGCTGAGGATCCAACCCGGGCCGCACGCATGCCAGGCGAGCGCGCTACCGCTTGAGCCACATCCCCAGCCCCTCTCTTTTGCATTCTTAATGAAAGTAAACATTTAGGGGATATATTTACTAACAGGGATATATTTCAGTGATAGAACACTTGCCTTGAATGCACAAGGCCCTGGGTTTGATTCCCCAGTACCCAAACAAAAATTTTTTAGATAGTGTTGGTGGGACTTGTTCCTCTTTTTAAAAATATTTAATAGCTGGGTGTGATGGCACATATCTGTAACCCTAGAGGTTCCAGATATTGAGGGTAGATGGATGGAAAGTTTGGGGCCAGACTTTATTGAGACCCTCTGTCCAAAAAAAAAAAAGAGGTGGGAATGTAGCTCAGGGGTAAAGAGCCTCTGGGTTCTATCCCTATTACCAAAAAACATTATTGATTGGTGTTTAAATTCATGCTTCTGAATGATTTCTATAAATTTCAGACCTTTGACTCATATTTAAGTAAATAAGTATCTTAAGTATTTGTAAGAGGCAGTACTGTAGATAAGGAGTAACAATGGTGCAGCCATTAGATTATATAACACCAGCATTGAGGAAATCTTGAAAATAAGGAATTTTACTCGAAATTATTAGTAAATGCTGTGTAATAGAATTATTTGGTATTCTGTTCACGTCAGCTAGCATAGCTTGTTTTAATGTACCATTTTTATGTGAGTCCTTTTAATCTTTAGTTTTTTCTTTTTCTTTTCTTTTTTTTTAAGCTTTATTTTTATATGGTGCTGAGGATTGAACCCAGTGCCTCATGCATGGTAGGCGAGTGCTCTACCTCTGAGCCACAACCCCAGCCCCTTTAGTTTCTTAATTCAGGGAATGTTATTTATCATTTCTGTGAATTTCTCCAAATTCAAAAGAGCATGGATTAGGAAGAACTTAGAGTTGGAATATTCCTTTGCTTTTTGAACAGATGATCAAAAACAGGGTAATGATGGGAAAGAGAGACATCATTTGTTAAAGTTGGAAGCCATGCCTTGTTATGTCTTCATGATTGATTCCCTTCAGGATGATAAACAAATACATTCAGATGCCTACTTTATGTGACTACGGGAGACCCACCATTTTAAATAGCTTTCAGAAAATGGAAGTTAGGTAGAAGTTAGGACATGCAAAAAGACATGATGTAAGACAGACGTTATTACCCTATATACATGTGTGATTACACTAGTCGTGTGACTATACCATGTATAGCTAGAGGAATAAGAAGTTGTGCTCCATTTGTGTACAATGTGTCAAAATTAGTTCTGTCATGAATAACTTATTAAAACAAATTTAAAAAATAAATAAATAAATTGGAAAAAATGAAGACATGATACGTATGACAAAGAAGTCTAGTGAAAGGGTTAAGGACCTGGAGTTAAGGAGGGAGACCAGTTTCTTGTCACAGTAGTTTTCTGGGCTTCATTGATTGTTGGTTTTTTTTGTGTGTGATCAAAGATGATAGTACTTGCTGTTGAAAAGATCCAATAAGGGGCTGGGATTGTGGCTCAGCGGTAGAGCGCTCGCCTAGCACGTGTAAGGGCCTGGGTTCGATCCTCAGCACCACATAAAAATAAATAAAATAAAGATATTGTGTCCAACTACAACTAAAAAATAAATATTAAAAAAAAGAAAAGATCCAATAAGATAAAATGGTTTTGATAATATTGAAATTAGTAGTGTTGTGTAAATAATAGGTTGTTTTTATACTGAGCAGGGACTCACTGAATCTTAAAACTGAAGTTGTGTATGTTTTCTCTATATTATTTCACATTATACTATAAGCAGTAATTGCCTGTCATATTTTCTAAAAAATAATAAGTGCTCCTCATTGAAAAGTGCAATCTAAACTGAGACTTGTTTAGAATATCTTAGGTTTTTATTTTCTTTCCTTTCAAAAGCTTTAAGTACACTTAACCATTTTGAAATGTTCATTTAATCCTCCCTAAAGGACTTGTTATGCCTCAAGGTAAGTGTGTTTTTTTGGGATCAGGCATAACCCAGTTCCATGTGCCAGAATCCTGATTCGGAGGAGAGTAAGTGTCCCAGCCTTATTCTGTCTTCTCCGGTAAAGAATCTCCTCTTTAATTCAACAGTGTGGAAGTGGGAAAATTTGAGGATGAGTCTCAAGTTTCCCTTAAGTAATAAGAACTTTCTGTTCTATTTCTCAAACTTCTATAATAACTTGGAGCTGTCATTCTTTTTTTGTGGGGTGGACATTATTCCACAATCCTAGAAACCTCCTTTAATAAGGCTATTCTGTGCTATTAGAGGATAACAGTGGTTACAATTGCCTATAGTGATGAGAGGTTGTGACAAGAAGAGGGTCTTCAGGTTCTGTACTATTCTGTTCTGGGTGCTGGTACATAAATGGGTTCACTTTGAAAACTCATCGAGCTTTTATGGCTTGAGATCTTCTCTGTGTATATATTATGCTTCAGTAAAATGTCCAAGGCAATGACCTCATCTGACAATATCTTCAATAAGTCCTTCAGTTGAAAGATCTGTATTACTTGCTGTTTACTTGTAGTTTGAATTAATCCCCGTGTATTTTGCTCTAATTTAGTAGATTTTGTAGTCAGTAAAACCTGGGTCAACTGTTTTCAAATGTTCATAAAAAGGATCCTGAAATGACAAAGAGCAAAATCAGTTACTCTTTCTAGATGGTATGATTTTAGTGGTTTTTTTTTTTTTTCTTTTTGCCTGCCTGTGGTTTTCAAAATATCTCATGCATTTATTACTTTTGTAGTCTAGGAGAAAAAAATTCTGTACTGTTGTAAGAAAAGAAATAAACATGCTTATAGCATGAGACCTTCCACAATAGAATATGAAAATATATTTAGAAAACATGATTATAGGGGTAACTTTTTTTCCACATTTGTTTTTGGTTATAGATATGCTAGTCTGTATTTTTGCTGCGCTATTGAGGATCAGGACAATGAACTAATTACCCTGGAAATAATTCATCGTTATGTGGAATTACTTGACAAGTATTTTGGCAGTGTGAGTATTTATTTTAGGAAATTGAATACCATCTCTCTCCTTTTTTTAAAAAAAATAATCTTTTTCCTAACAAGTTTATTATTTGCATATATTGGGGATTACAGGGAGAAAGCAATAATAACTTTTTCTCAGTTTGTCTACTCAGTTAACTTACAGGGTCATTGGCCATACAGACCTACTCATTTAATTATGATGGTTACAATGAGTTTTAAAATAGTACAATAGAAAGGACTTTGACTGCAAACATTAATATCATGGTAGTGCTTAGTGCAGAATTCAGATTTGGTTAGCAGTTTAATCACATAACCCAGGAAATAAATATTTAAAGATCAGTTTTAGGAGCAGAAAATTACTAAGTTGCTCATATTGAGAGTATGCAGAGACATGTCTTATTTATCTTGTATGCATTGTTTTTTCAAGTACTTTAAAATTTGAAAATTATGCTTACTTAAATTAATGATGCTTAGTCAATGTGATTGCTATTTTTAGAAAGTTAAAATTGATTCACTTTGGTCAGATTTCTTTGGCTTGCTTAAGTTTTAACAGTTTGAGGGATTTTGTTTGTATTGTTTTTGTTTTTCAGGTGTGTGAACTTGATATCATCTTTAATTTCGAGAAGGCTTATTTTATTTTGGATGAGTTTCTTTTGGGAGGGGAAGTTCAGGAAACATCCAAGAAAAATGTCCTTAAAGCAATTGAGCAGGCTGATCTACTACAGGAGGTAAGTCACTTGTTTTCCTGACTAGGCACTAGCATGTTTTGCTCTTGCTAGGGAAGTCTCAGTCATCCTTCTTAGAGTTTCAGTAGTTACCCAGAGCATGCTTGGCATGTATTATCCATGTGCAGTTTATTGATTGAAATATGTGTCAGTCACATCAACTCAGTTATCTATGGATGGATGGTTCACTTTAGAGATGGTCTGTTGGTCAAGCTTATTTTTGATGGCCCAGTTTTGGACCCTACTAGGACAGACTATTATAAAAAGAGAAAATATTGGCTAAACCTTACAGCAAGTTGAGAACTCTCCATCCATTGTTTTGAATTACTTAAGACAACCAACCTCCTTTTTAATTGGGAGTTGACTGTGAGATTACAGCATTTTCATTCCAAATTGGTTCATATTTTCACCTCATATCCATTAAGTACAAATGTAGCCAAGCAAGTGGTAGGGATTTCCAATTAGACTTTTTGTAGAACCCTCTAGTTTTATATTAATAAAGCTAAAAAGTATTCATACTTTGCTTTTCTTAAATAGCAAACCATGTTCTATAAATCTACTGTTTTCTCATCTTACCTCCATATTCCAGAACCATAATAACCCCCTTCCCTTTTTAATTACTTCAGTCATCCTGGGGTAACCATGCATGTATTTGATACTTATGTACTTTCTGTTTCTGAAATTTAAAATTTCATATTGATATAAGTCTACCTTTTTAAAAAAATTTAATGATAGCTTAATTCAGGTACTAAATGGAATTATGCCTTAGAGCCAATTGTGGTTTTTATCATATAGAAAGTTTATAACTTAAGAAAGGGTCAGTAAATAGAAAAAAAACAATGTAGTGTGTTTTCATTAAGGCAGTTGTTAAGTGTGTGTATATGTACGTATATATAAAAAGTTGATTTTTTTTTTGATTCACAGGTGTATTTTACAGAAGCATTGAAAGTATGGTTTTATATTTCTAGCTTATATTAGCCCCTCATTGTGCATTACACATGTATTTGTCAGTTCTTGCTTTTTTTCAGTTACTAAAGGAGACTTTAAATTCAGTTTTTTAGCATTTCTATTTTTACAGAAATGGCAAGCTTTAAGGTAATGAAATGAGAGAAGATTTACTCTCTTTCTCCATTATAATTTCTTTACTATTGGCCTCTGGAGAGGAGGGAAATCTACTGCAACACTTAGTGGTAGGGGTTGTTGAAAGCTGAGGTGACAACAGTGCCTTGTGCACCTAATTATCTTGTAGTTATCAAAAGAATAGTTAGGGTACCTGCAAAAGTGAAGAATTTGTTGGCAGTCCTCATACCATCTGCTGTTCAGTAGTAGAATGAGAACAGACCGTTTTCCTTCTGTGTACAGTTTGCCACAGTGATTATATTTGGAGATTTTTATTTTTAGCATCAGGTGTGCTGACTATAAGCATATATTATATGGTTGTAAAATTGGTTTTAAAGTTAGTACTTTCTTATTTTGCTGCTCACTAAACAAACTTTTAAATATTAGGTAGAATCCAGGATGAGGAATTGGGAATTTTTCATATTTGTCTTTTTCCTTGGTCACTTTTGTATTTCATTATTATGGATCTATATTCTGTTCTATCAGAACCTGGTATTTCTTCCAAGTTTTTCATCATTTTCTGATTAATTACATTTGCTTTAAACATTTAAAACATTTTGAAAGTTGTTGAAGTTCAGCTTCTTACTTTTAATGTTTTCCTTAGATGTTTAAGGCACTGATATCTCCTTGTGCCTGGATTATTATTTTTTTAATATTTATTTTTTAGTTGTAGATGGACACAATACCTTTATTTTACTTATTTATTTTTATGTGGTGCTGAGGATCGAGCCCAGGGCTTTGCATGTGCTAGCCGAGCGCTCTACCACTAAGCCACAGTCCCAGCCCTGGATTATTTTTTAAATGATACTGGGAAATTACTATGTACTTTATAATATATGACAATGATGCTATGTTTAGCTTATAGTACTTAATATACTAGGAGATAAAAGCATTACTATAGGAGTATAATTCCTAATATAAATGCCATCTTTAGCCTCTTAGTCTGGGGATTTTTGTTGTTCATACTATCAGTGGTTAGAAATTTTTATTGACTATGTAGATATAAATAATATTTTTCAAATTATTTCTTGTTAGATTTATCAAAATGCTTAAATTTATGTTACCTATTTTGGTTTTGCTGTTTGGGGGTGTAGTATTCAATTAGTCAATGTCAAGAAGTGAATTTACTTCCAAAATTGTAAATATGGCTGTACGATACTTTATTCAGCCTTAAGTTTGTAGCAGAAGTTCTGATTATTTTAACCTAATTTTTAAAAAGTATTTATTTTTTTAGTTATAGGTGTACACAATGTCTTTATTTTACTTTATGTGGTGCTGAGGATCGAACCCAGTGCCTCACTTATGCCAGGCACTCCTTCTACCTCTGAGCCACAACCCCAGCTCTTAATCTAATTTTTTATGCAATGTGATTTTTCTGTTTAGTGTCAGGTCTTTTATTTGGGTTATTTCTAAGCTCTAAAAACTTTCAACTTCAAATGAACTTTTATCTGTTGGGCTTAAAGATAAATGAAATCACAGAATGATTTTGGTTTTTAGTTCTTTTTTAGCTTGTAAAATGTTTCTATCCTTAAGAATTAGATTTACCCAATTTATATGAATGTTACATAATTTAGATAGTCTTTCATCTTATAGGCAAACAGGACAGATTGTCATTGGCTCAAGTAGGTTGTCAGCATAAACATTAATAAGAATAAAACAAATGCATATTTAAATAATAATTGCTAAAATATCAGCATAAGTAATCAAAGAATAATGTTACCTTTTTCATTGTGGTTAATTACTTAGTAAACAAGGGATCATTTTTGGCATTTGTAGACTGAACTCTGTGCTTGTTCTTTTGGTATTTGGTTGTGTGAATACACGATTAGATTTTGGGGGGAAGCCTGGAAATTGGCCCATTTTCCAATTTTTAATGTTTGTTGGGATTTTAAACATTTCATCTTAACATGCCACTGGTACTAAAGTTGACTCTTAAATTATTAAAGTATAACTTGTGGTTGCTAAATTGGTAATTTATATATATATGTGTATATGTATATATATATATATATATATATATATATATATATGTATATATAGTTTTAGTTGTCAATAGACCTTTATTTTATTTATTTTTTTTATGTGGTGCTGAGAATTGAACCCAGTGCCTCACACATGCTAGGCAAGCACTCTACCACTGAGCTACAACCCCAGCCCTATTGATAGATATTCTTTACAATGTTTGGAGTAACCACCCCCATACACATATATATTTAAGCCAGATTTTGGGGGGGTGAAGTGGAGTATGATGATGCAGTTGGATTTATTTTATAAACACATACATGTATAATGACAAAGGAAATAATAGCATGGCATTTTTTTCTGTAAAAAATCAGCCACTTACCAGTTTTTCTCTGCTCCTTAATTTTATAGAGCCAGAATGAAGAATGGGGAGGTTTGTCTGAGGATATCTTATGATAAAGAGCAGTCTAAGGCTTTAGTCCCTTTGACCCCCCAACTTATTTATTGGTAACTACTAAATTTACCATTTTGTGGCATGGATAAAATGGGGTGCTATGCAAACACTGTTGCACGTGAGATGATTTAAAGTCCTTGCTTGATCTGTGAAGATCAAATAGTTAAATACTGGGCATTGGGCTTTAACCCTCAGCATTAGATGCATGATGGTGTTGATCAGCGCTTTGAGATGTGTTGAACTTTCTTTTTTATACTAACAGCATCGTTTTGAAATTTGTGGTGGTTTTTCTTTTGAGCTTTGTTTGCTGTTGGTATCGTTTCTCACTGAAGTAATCTGCAATGGAAAATAAGTGAGGTACCAAAAGCAAGCATTATTATACTCATGAATTTGCTTCTACTTCAAGATGATCCACTTTATGAATAGATTTACTGGATTTGCAGATGTTTATCTGCCTCATTTAGAAAGTGGTACTCTGGAGAATTACTGCTGCTAAAATTGATTTGTTTTAGTGCTGGGGGCTGCATGATATGTCTTAGTACTATGCTGTATCTGTGAAAGTAATAATTAATAAATCTGTGGGACTGCATAAAATGGAAAGGTAAGAATCTTAGGATAAAAAGTGATTTCTTTAAAAAAATGAGGCTTTTGTAACTTAAAATTATTTTAAGTAAATAAGGACTTTTGAAGGATAACATTATACCTTTTAAATGAAGATATGAGTTATCTTAAAAATTACACCTTGCTAATTAAGAATATTGGGGCAGGTCAGTCAAACTCAAGAATATCTTAGTTGTTTTAAAAGAGGTAGATGCTTTCAAATATATATAATAATGCCATTTAACAGCAAAAAGTATTTTGATACAAATCCTCCTAGGATTTGTGTAGTATTGGACAACCTAAGACAGGCACGGTCCCTAAGCCACATGCTTGGTGTTTAATTAAACAGAAGGGGGGAGATGCTGAGAGCCACAGCAGAGTCAGAATGGCCCCTGGCAGGCAGAACACTTTTGAATTTTCTGCCCATTTCCCCATCTACCTTAGGGATTTGATTATTTCTTAAAGAAGAATAGATTAAATGACCAGAATTTATACATATAGACTTTTCTTTTGTTGCGTAGTTAGACTTTTTGTTATTGTTCTTTTACATCCTCTTAGCCTTAAACAGTTTACTTAGTAAAGGTATTTTAGAGTTTGTGATTCCAAGAAAATTTTTTGTTTAGAAAGCCCTGATTGAATTTAGGTCATTTCAAGGCAAATACAATACAGGTAAACTAGAATAAGCTTAAAATATTTCTTTATAGTCTAAAATTATATTTGATAAGCTAATTTTTCTACCTTTTTTATTTAAAAAGTACAGTTAACTGCCAGAGAAAGTAATTTGTCCTTAGTATTTTATAGCTAACAGGTTTTAAACCAGCATCTATAAGCTAACTAACTCTCATCATTATTTTCAAGACAAATGTAA